GTATATTTTGAATTTAAATCATTAAGGTTTCATTACTACTTGGCAGCTGTTTCTTTTTACTTCACACTTTAAAAATATATGTGTGATTATGAATGATAACATTTCAGCGGAGGCAGCGAAAAGATAACAAGTACGCATTTAGAATTTATTTATTGTCATTTTATTAATGTCATTTACCATTGCCTTCTAATATATTATGCATGCTTGGTTGAAATAATTTTCAAAAGTCAAAACAAACAACTTTCAAAATTAAGATAAACATTTTTCAAAATTAAAATCAAACTTAAACATTTTTCAAAACAGCAAACAAACATATTATGTTTCTTTTGAATTTACAAGAGTCCCTCGGATGAGGTAACCTACGGTTGCTAACGATATCTCCCCAGTTTAAATGAGTTTAACAACTTGTTTAAACTAAACAAATTCAAAAACAAATAGTGATACCGGAATGAGGGAACCGTGGGATCCTAACCGATGCCGCTCTAATCAATTTTAACCCCCCCACAACACTTGAACAATAACAAAACTTGTCACATAAACTGTAAAACCTTAAACCTGAAGACCCGGAGTTGTCACTTCGACGAAAAGTTTGGAGTTAATTCTGTGGGCAACATGACAGAATGTATACAAGAACAACTTTGAAAGAGTCGACGGGTCTACAACAGCAAACATTTTCTTAGAATTAAACAATAAGTCATAAGACTTCGAGATAGTTTGTCTAATACGACATAAATCCTCAGCTTATCTTTGGGTCTTTGCACAACCATGTTGTGCAATTTAAGCCCTAACTAGCTTTAGGCTCCGAGGTTGTCGTTCGTTACGACATAAATCATTGTATCTTCTAGGTTATTTGTATGACCGTGTCATGAAAGTGTAAGCCCTAAATAAAAAAACTGGCAGGATGAAACATCAAATAATATTTTCTTAAAATTGAAGTCAAACAGTAGGATAGCTTGAGAAATTACCGAGATTTCCCCTCGGATCAATGACATCTTCTATCTTTCATTTCTTTGGATTCCTAAAAATAATTCTCATTTGATTCATTCCCTTTTGAACTTCCAATGATCAATCTTAAAAGCCTCAAATTTTGAAATTCTTGAAAGCAAAACCATTGATCAGAATCGAGAGTATTCTTAAATAAGCAAAACCATTGATCTAAATCGAGAGTATTCTTAAATGACTTCGGTCACTTAAGATATAATTAACTATAGAGATTTGTCTCTATAGGAAACTTTGGAACTCAGTTTAATATAAATTCTATCTAATTTTTCATATTAGATAGGGGAACTAGTCGGTCAACATAAAAGGTTTCGCAGACTAAAATGGATGTCATAAATGTCTTAGTTTATTTAATCGAGTCTTATAATGAAGTAAAACGTCTATTCCTCATGATAGATACATCACTTGTGGTGTTATGCTCACTTATTTAAATTATTGTATATATGGGACCAGTTTGGCCTCGTGTTTTCAAAATTAAAACATTATTTTTAAAAATTAAAAATACTACTTTTCCAAAATCATATATATATATATATATATATATATTAAATTAAATTTAAATTATTTCCAAACAGTTTGGCGACCGACAGCCTCGCATAAAAACTTCACTACTACGTAATAAGTCGAGACCATAGGCTTACAAAAGTTGAGGGGACAACCAAAGATGGAATTGAAATTTGATGGTAAATCGGCGATAATTAAGTCAAATAAGGCAGTGAACTGCTTGTTGCCATCTCCCCAACTGATGGGAAAGACTATGACTCCCAGTGTCTCCTCATCTGAGAAGCCATAAAGTGGTCTAGTATTGATCAATGGACGTGTGGTACCTAAATTCATTTTATCAAAAATAGATTGAAACAAAATATTGATATAACTTCTTGTGTCAATAAGAATAATGTCAATTTGAAAATTGGCAATTGAGGCAATGACTATGATGGTGCCCTTGGGAGGTTTTCCTTTAGAAAGCAAATCTACTTCAGCTAAGATGATGAAGGGTTAATGTGTGAATCGCCGCTAGGATGATGCTGTCAAACTAGTCTAACAAGAAAATTTGATCCCATCTCCACCAAAAATTATTGGAATGACACTCATGATATGAATTGTTTGGGCATGAGCGAGCTCGTTCCAATTTTCCTCTACTAGAGTTTTCCTTGTCTCAAACTAATTGCTCCATGCTCCATAAATCACTTCAGCTTTTCAGCCTTCATCAGTTCTTCGATTATGTTTCTAATGTGGCAGCATTCCTCTGTATCATGCCCGTGATACATGTGGTAGGCACGCTACCTTCTCAGATCTCAAATGTATCACTTTGCCTCCATCAACGTGGGTTTTAAAAGTACTCCTTATTTTATTATGGATTCCACGACTTTTACCATTAAAACTCATAGTGACATCCGTTGGGATATTTCATTGGTTGGTGGCGGAGATCTTCTATCCAAGTGGAGGTCCTTTTGCCTTTCCACATATTGGGTTCGTCTTTCCAGAGGAAAAAATCTTCTCCCTGGCATGTGGCTCCTCCCTTAGAAGCAACAAGGACAATGCTCTTCAAATATGGACCTGGTTGTCGGCTGCGGGTGACAGTTCTTCCATTCGACTCTCTGGAAGTTCCTCTTCAAAGGTGCCTTTCTAAGGCTCAACTCGCAAGGGGTTCGATGATGAGTTGTACTCCGCCAATATGTAGTTAGTAAGTTCCGACAGCCTAGCTAACATCCTTGGTCGTTGTAGGCCCAGCGTGTAGCAGAATGATCGTTCTCTCAGTCCCTAAGCTGGGGCAATGTGGGCTATTGTGAGTTCTAGATCACATACTTCTAGCGTCTCCTTCTAGAAGCAGGTCATGAAAGCACACAGGATTTCCCCATGCTTATGGAGAAGTTGCATTTCAAAGCTTTTGCGAGGTTTCTACGCATTGGCGGGACGTGTTATAAACTTATGTTTGAATTCTACAAAACAAATGATTACTCCTAATGACAAACTGTTAAACCATCGAAGGGCAGACTCCTTCAAAGTCATGAAAAGGAGCTAGCATTTCAAAGCATCATTCACTCTCAATAGATACACGGCATAGTCGAATGAAGCAACATGATCAAAGGGATATGATAACCCCCGATGGGATTCCAGGGTTAGCATCTCAAAGCATTCGAAGCATCATTCACTCTCAATAGATACACGGCATAGTTGAATGAAGCAACATGATCAAAGGGATATGATAATCCCCGATGGGATTCCAGGGTTAGGATCTCAAAGCATTCAGAAGCTTTAGAGATTTCTCTATATAAAGCATTCTTCGATGGGCAAGGTTGCAGAGTGTCAAGGTATCTTTGCCTACTATTATCCGATGGAATTCAACCTGCATTGTCAAGATAATAAGAGTCATCTACTTCCACCAAGGCTGGTGAAGGGGTGGTTCTTCTGGTATTGTGAAGGGGTGGTTCTTCTGGTATTGTTGCCCAGTCTCCATCTTTTGCATGAAGGTGCTGCCAACTGAAGCGCATAATAATGTTTCTTGAGCTAGAGTTTCTTTGACTATCCCTATCATATGCTTCTCGAGCTCGTTGATCTATTATATGCTTCTCAAGCTCGTTGATCTATTATATGCTAAACTCTTTGTTACAGTTGATCTGATACATCATGTAGATAAAAAATTTCAAGAAAATAATATAATTTAGTTTATAATTTAAAAAGTAATTATAAGATTTGAAACAAAATTTAAAAAAGACATCAGACGAAAACTGAGAAATCCCAAGGCACAACCACATAAGTAAAGCGAGAAGCATCAAACCACCGCCACAGAAAAAAACTGAGAAGCCCCAAGGCACAACAACATAAGTAAAACGATAAGCACTAAATCACCACCACAAAAGAAAAGTGAGTAGCCCAAAAACACAACCAATGTGGTAAAACAACAAACATCAAGCACCACCATAGAGGAAATCGAGAAGCCCGAAGGCACAATCGATGTAGTAAAACGAGAAGCACCAAACCACGACCACAGAAGGAAACTGAAAGCCAAAGAGGCAAAACAGAAAAGCTCTAAGGCACAATCACATAAGTAAAATGAGAAGCACCAAACCACCATCAAAGAGAAAAATTGAGAAACCCCAAGGCACAACCACTTAAGAAAAAATAGAAGCACCAAACCGCCACCACAGAGAAAGATGAGAAAGGAGGTAAGGCTTTCATTAGAAATGTATACAAAGAGTGGCAGCAACAAATACAGGAGAGAAGCGAAGAGGGCCACTAAGATGCACTAATAGCAAATGCCCATAGCGAAGCCGAAAGTATGGAGATGTGAGGGGTAATATCGCTGATAAAATGAGTCATTTTCAAAATTGTTGTGGGGCACCAAGGTATATTCTAATCTAGAGCACGGCTAGATACGTGGAACCGAGCATTCTGCTACCGTTCGCTGCTTCTCTATTTTTAAAACGGGAATTTATTATAACAGCTTTTCAAAAAGAAAGAAAAGCAGTAAAAAAGTGCTCCCAAATGCACCCTTAATCAACGGGAATTTATTATAACAGCTTTTCAAAAAGAAAAGCAGTAACAATTACAAAGCACAAAGAGTAAGTGAATCATTTAGTAATTCCGTAATGTTAACAAATAATGCTTTAGCAATTTAAAAGACATTTTGCTTTTTCAATTGACAGGAGAATAACATAGTTTTTTAACTGAAGCACGCTAAACAGCCATATGTTGATTAAGAGATTAAAAGCAGAGAGATACAGGAATATAAATTGCAACCTAATTATTCAGAAAATATAAGAGAAATGTCATTATAAAAGATAATTTGAACAACTAAATAGATGATATCAATCTTCTCACTAAATCTTCTTGATGACACAAAGTTTGATTCCACAAAGAATGTATATAAAAATTATAGTGACATCTATGGTATAATTTAACTAGCTAGTTAAGAAGTAGAGAAAAAAGGAACTAAACATATACTTAGTTCATGCATGGAATAAGTCTACTAAAGCAATTAAAGTAAAACATTCTTGTACCTGGGAGGTTGCGTGGCATTTGTACTCCAAAAAAACAGCTGGCCATGTCAACGGCTGACACATTGCCAACTTGGGTTGCTAGGACGACAAAAACTGCATCACGACACATACTCATTGCAACATTATTGTCTAAGCCCATAAGACCACGAAGATATAAAATGCCCGAGTTTAAACATCTCCTGCAATTATCCTCTAATGTGAGTGGCATCTCACAATTATTAAGAACATCACTAAAGTTAGGGGACTGCATCATCTCCAACACAGTTCCCCTTCCACTGCACTGATAAGAAACTTGAATCTTCGGGCCCAGGCCACAAAATACTAGAGCACTGTCTGGAACTCCATGCAAACCAAACGTTTCAGAAACAGAATTAAGGCAAATCTCAGAGAATGCTGATGGAACCCCTAGCTTGCCCGTTTCATTCGCATAATGTGCAATAGAAATTGTAACAAGGGCATTGATGTAGCGGCAGCAATGTCCCCTCTCATTTGGATCCGAACAAGCAGAAATTGCCGAGGAAAAATTTGCCCAGCTAAAATCCAGAGGACAAACTGCTCAGGCAAATTATCATCAATAAGTCAATGATAGTTATTCTATAAACAAGAAATGAAACCAGATGAACACATATAAAAAAAAAGAAATCCTATCTAGTGACCAAAGAATTCATTTTTCTGCAATATAGAAACAGTTGTATAACTTAGTATATAACATATGGTAGAACTTTTTATTTCTTTTTATCTTTTTTTTTCATTTTTTTTTTCTTTTTTTAAATTAGAAATTTTGAGTTGTAGAGGCAGATAATATAAGGCCAAAACAGGAATCTAGAAAGTAAGGTGGACTGAGAAATACCATAAAATGCTGACATTAAAGATTCTGCAGCAGTCAAGATAAAGGGTGAGAGATGCATTTTACTTTAGCCATAATGATACTAATTGGATCACTTCAATCGTCGCACTTCACCTTTCACAATAGCATTATCATTCGCAATTATGAGTTTATGAAGAATATATCAATTTGTCCACTTCAGAAAAACAAGTATAGCCCCATCTTTATCAGAGTGGAAAAATAACTCAGACAAGAAAGAAAAGCAAGAAACACGAGGATATTCAAGAAGGAATGGTAGCAAGTTAATATAGAGGCAAACTCTATTTGAGTAAAGCTCATTACGTCATCCATATTTCTGCTTGATTTCAATCTTCCCTCTTCAGAGTATCTTTTTGCAGTCATGTTTTATAATCTTAGTCATTTCTTTTTTAGGGACAAGCGGTAATACATAAAGGAAAACTCAATATTCAGATTTCTTATTGTAAATACCCAATCTTAACTCTCTAGACAAAAGGAACTATAGTTATTATCTATATTTTTAAACCAAGCTGTTCTTACAACCTTTAGGCTAAAAGCCTGTTTGTGTTCTAAGAGTAATGACAACTAAACCCATTGATGTAGTACAAACGTATGATCATATCCATTAGAGCATTGAATCAAAATTCCACATCAACGTCATCATTATTACTCAAAAGTTTTGAAGAAAGGGAGAAGATCAAGACATTGTTGACATTTACCAACAAGTGCTCAAATCAAGTGTCACCCTACTTTCCATACATTTATGGCCAACCTCTCTTCCCTCCAAAATAAGTTATGGAAAAAGTTCAAATCACCATTTAAATAGCAGTGGTTGAATGTTCCAAACAAGCAATCAGTTGAAATATGAACCATTTTCTCTTATGACATAACCAAAATTATCAATGAAAAAAATGTTTTCTTTTTTTCGTTCTTTTTTTCCTATATATAACCACCTGACATACATTTTTTTTATTATTGCAAAATGAAATATTAAACTTTGCCTGTGCCAAATCCCTTAGTGAAGCTTGGCGGCTAATTCAAACCCTAACCGTTAGAACATATCCCAACCTCACTTCCAAAGCTTAACCTAACATCTCTAACCTTTCTCAAGCCTCCGTCATTATACAACCCCAACAAATAATTCCCACTCAACCTCCACCTCTGGACCGCCTTCAACACCACCACAAAATCTAACTCTATCCTTCATTTGAGCTCTCCAAAGTTCCCATCATATAATCATAAGTCATCACCAAGCATTGAAAGAATTTTAGTCATAGAGATCATATCACCAACCTATATGAGCCTTGGTTATTGAAAAATACATAATCAGTTTGCATCTAGCGTTGAAGAGGAAAATTGGCTCACCAATGAACTTGACATCCTCTAGGCCATACATTATCTAGATTATATAGCAACAGCTAGCAAGCTAAGGAGCATGTCAATTGTATTCTTCCTGAAGGCTATAAAGCAATACTTTTGTTCCGCTGACTCTGAGTCTCAGAAGTAAAAATAGCTCACAACACAATAAATTGATCAGTGACTAAATTTTTATATAGATCCACCACTGTCATACAATCACAATCCTAAAGAGCAAAAAATTTTTAGAAGGTGGATACAACCTCATTTTTTATGAGGTCGGCACATCCTATTCTTCAGTCTATCTTTAGATCCTAGTATCAAATACTAGGAATTCCTTACAAAAGACTTCCTCAGAGAACTAGTTAATGGTTGAATATAAACTTGGAACCCAAACTCATATCTCTCTTCTCGTTAGTTTAATATGAACTCACTTCGGTCCTTAACTCTATTAATTAAAGTTAAGCTGACCATGGTTAGGTCATTAAGAACCAGGAGTAAAACACCCTAACGGAAAAAAATGTATTATTATGTTACCCTTGAAACCCTTGACCTTTGGAATCTAATTCAAACCATTAGGAGCTTTCCTAAGAGCTCTTGGACCCACTTTGACTCACCCAGGTTATATTGCCCACATGACCTAGTAAGGCCATAGTGACCTTCTGAAACCCAACAAATAAATCAAACCCCATTGCTAAAAGATTTGGTTAAGAGTAAACTTACATGGCTTCTAAGTCACTCAAATACTTGAGTCGACCCGGGTTAGCCTGTTCAACGTGCCTTAGTAGATCAATTTACACCCCATAAAATCTTCCAAAATCGAAATCAAATCAATCTAAATTTAATCTAAAATTAAAACTAAATTTGAACTTGAATTTAAAATAAATATAAACATTGAATTAAAACTAAACATAAATTAAAATAAACTTAAAGCTAAAATGTAAACTAAAATTAAAATAAACCAAACCAAATTTTTAAATAAACTAATAAAAAACTAAATCTAAATTCAAAATATAAACTAAATTAAATCCTACACTGAAACATATAAAATTTAACTTAAACTCTAACAAAAAACAAAAATTTATACTAAACCTGAAATAAACTAAGCAACAAGTTAATTTAAATTTAAAATTAAACTAAATTAAACACAACTTAAACTTAACATAAATTTAAAAATGAAGTTTGAACAAAACCTAATCATATTCATCTATCATAGGACGTTACAGCAACAAAAACAACAACCCTTTATCCCATAGAGTCGGCTACATAAATTCTTTTTCTCCATTGTGTCCTATTGAATGTCATATTTTCATTTAATTCTAATAAATTAAGATCATCTTTTATATATTATGCGCAAACTTTTTTAGGTCCGCCTTTTCCTATCTTAACATAAGTTTAATCACAACATCTACTCTCCTAACAGGATCAAATATGGTTGATGTCATATAAAATAATTATATAGAAGAAATATTACAGATTAAAAAAAAAATTTAAAAATCGTGAGCCTGATCCCTAATTCTCATTCGGCTACAAATATGGGTGTAAGTGAACCAAGCTGACTCGTGAGTCAGCTTGGATCTAGGTTAATAAGGGCCACATGGACTAAACTCAATGAGCTAAAAAGCGAAGCTCCAGCGAACCCCGACTCGACTCATTACCACGTGAGCCAGCTTGTTTAAAATTATTAATATAAAAAATACTCGACTAAACTCAATGAGCTAAAAAGCGAAGCTCCAGCCAACCCCGACTCGACTCATTACCACGTGAGCTAGCTTGTTTAAAATTATTAATATAAAAAATACTTAAATTATTTTAAAATTCAACGCTTCATTTTTAAACTATTAAAAATGTTAAAAAAAAAATTTATATTTTATATCAAGTGATTTCTTTTTATTTATCTCTTAAGTGCTCATTCAATTTATCATTTTATTATAACACTAGCTTGAATTAATATTATTTCCTTTCTTTTATAAAAAACAAGCAGATTGTAAGAAATCTCGAACTCATAAAATTACGCTTGAGCTCGGCCTCAAACTCAATTAATTAATCAAGCTCCAGCTCAAACTTAAGCCAAAAATTTCTCGAGCTCGACTCGACTAGTTTACACCCCTAGATACAACCACCAACCAAAATGTCCCTTCCACGAATTAGCTAAAGTGTGATGTGCCGAAAGGAGCTCTTCATTTTTTGCTCGCGTTCCCTCCTTCATTCCCATTCACACAAGAACGAAAGTCCCATCTTATTCCAATCGTACGTGTCCCATCTTATTCCAATCGTACGTGAAAACCCACTATATTGATTCACAAAGCCTCCCTAAGAATCAAATGCAACCCTCTCACTATGATCCCTCTTGTGCTAATAGGTCGCAACCCATCTCCTGCACCAGTCTCCTTTTTGAAATCCATAGCCCTCTCTTGTTCGTACGACAAGCCCTTTCTCCTCATTTCTATTAGGAGGTACACGCAACGAATGAAACCTTCATCTCTCTCTTTTCTCTTATTGTCACAAGCAGCGGAGTGGCCACTGAATAGGCTATAAGCCACGTAAATCCATTATAATTTTTTTTTAAATCCTTTTCAAATCTTGCCACCAAAGATTGTCACAAGCAGCGGAGTGGCCACTGAATAGGCTGCCGCGTAAATCCATTATAAATTTTTTTTAAATCCTTTTCAAATCTTGCCACCAAATGTTGTTTGTTTTTGTTATATTGTTGAGACTGTTTGTTAGATTGTGAGACTCTGTTTTGTTATTATATTACTTTGTGAACTGTAGTTTGTAAAACAATTTTCATTTCTGGAATTCAATTTAGTTATGTTGTTAATTTTTGTATTTTGTTAAATTTATTGTAATGAACTCTTTCTCAGCAACTTTTATATGTATTATGTGTAATTTAATGTTTTAAGCTTGTAGCTTTTTATATTAGTATCTGCAGTATTTCAGAATTAAAGTTTCAAAATCAGACCCTTCAACAGGTATGTCTTTTCTTTAGGTATTTAATGTTTTCTTTCACCCTTTATTTTTCAGTTCTTCATGCTAAATCTTTTAAGAATTTAAGTTTTAGGAGGAAAAATTTTTTTTTTTAAAGAAACTTAATTTTATTTGTCCTCACTTTGCTATATTTTCAAAAAAAAATTTAAATTTAACATGATCTGTGGTATTAAGGGTTAACTTTAGATAACTATATTTATGTTTCTAAATATATAGTAGACTTAAGTGAAAATTTTCAATAATAAAAGTTAATTTTAGAGATTAAGATATTTGGTATAAAAGAAAAAAACTATTTTTTTCTATTTTAAGTAAAGAAAATTGTATTTTTAAAATATTAAAAATCTTAAAGGTTCATGTAAGAAGA